GATGACCTGGATGACTGAGAACCTTCACAGACATTCAAATTTAACTTATTCAAATTCAGTTTCTGATGGCACAGATTTCTGCCCATAGTCATGTTTCAAACCCATTTTCAATTCAAATATCACTACTACAATATATACACTACAACTGTTTTCTAGCAGTCACACCTCATCTTACCGTTTGACACAGGATTCTATCATGTCACTAGACATCAGCTTCAGTCGGGTCTCAAGGTGTTTTCCAAACTCTTCTTCTGGCCAGTGGAGATCTCTGATGAATGTCTGCAAAGCATCAAGCTTCCAGAAGAGATCTTCTGATGTCCCTGAGCCATTACTGTAGAAAAATTAAACACATTTTTAGACATTATGTGTATGTTCATTGTGATGGCATGCCACACATGGTAAGCTCCACACCTCACCACCCGTTGATTCACTTTAGTTTAATTTACAGTCACTACTTTAAAATATTCTATTTATTGTTCAATATCGTTTCTTTATTAAATGTATTCATTTTTCCATCACACCTTCCAATGTTTATATGGCATGCACACATATTAACCTTGCAAGGTCAAAGTTCTGTTGTATGTTATATTAATACATCTTTCTTTGTTTGAGTTACCTGGGGGTTGGTGTCTCCTGTCTGGCAAAAGGTGTGGCAAAGGGCTGGGAGACCTGAAATACTACTGACAGCCTAATTGGATTGCACCACATGCTTCATTGCCTGGGGGGTGTTTCATGTTTGTTTAAATGTTTTGTATTAGTTGGTTATATGGCAGCCATCTTATTTTCCCCCGTGTGTGTCATTTGGTTTAGCTAAACCAGTATTTAAGTCCCCCTGTGTGTCATTTCAGCAGGTCAGTTTACCATATGTTTGTTTGAGGTTTTGTTAATTATTATCTTGAGTTTAGTCTATTGAGTTGACCTCTTTTATTGGTCTGCCTGTTTAAGTTTTGGCTTTGTTAAATATGTTTTCATATTTTTGGGTCAATAAAACCCGTTTTTTGAATTAAAACCACCTGTGTCCTTTATGCTTTACTGCTTGGTCCCTGACATTCATGCAAACAAAATAAAAGACAAAAATCACTTTTATGGTGACTTCATTTACAATTCATTTACAATGCAGAAAATAGTAATAAGACCAAAGACTTATCATGCCTTGTATGTCTGTGGTCATAACTGCGTAAATTTGGGGTTCAAACTCAAAGCATTTTTGGGCTAATTTCAAGAACATAGTAAAGGACATTAATTATGACTTTGAAGTGATTTAAAACCAGGTTTTCCAGAACTAATGAAATCCTCAATTTCCTGATGACAAAAGGGCCTTCTTTGGGGGAAAGCAAGGACTGCTTGGACCAGGATGAGCAGCACTCCCACTTATCACTGACCACATTATTAACTTGGTAAAGCCAAGTACATCATATTTGATACACAAGCTTTTGTGAGTTGTTGACACTTGTACATGATTAGTGTGATTCTACAATATGTGCCTTTCTGTTGATTGTATATATTTATTATGTTTGTTATTTATCCCTGCTGTCTTACTATTTACATTTTATTCCTGTAGAGCACAATAATGGGCTATTCTATTCCAAATGAGAAAATCCAAGGGCGATTGTGGCTCAAAGATTTTGCAGTTTGTCTTGTAATCGGAAGGTTGCTGGTTCGAGCCCCGGCTTGTACAGTCTTGGTCGGTGTGTCCATGGGCAAGACACTTCACCTACCGCCTACTGGTGTTGGCCAGAGGGGCCGATGGCGCGATATGGCAGCCTCGCTTCTGTCAGTCTGCCCAGGGCAGCTGTGGCTACAACTGTACCTTGCCTCCACCAGTGTGAGAATGTGAGAGTGAATGAATAGTGGCATTGTAAAGTGTTTTGAGGGCCCCAAAAAGCGCCATATAAATGCAATTTATTATTATTACATAACCAGTACTTACACAAGCTAAGTTATTTGTATTTAATTCTAAGTATATGTGGTGTAGTCCAGCATTTATTTTGTAATCTGTGCTAAATTATGATTATTTGGGTTTTTTCTTTGGCACGTCTTGTTGTGTGCGGTGAACACCACTCTCATTCCATTTTCTGTCTACGACAACTTCTTAACCATCAGCAGATGATGTATGCCGATATTTGGCCAATTTACTGTTAGTCTTTGGGAGGACTGCATGCAGTCTCGGTTTAGCTGTTTGACTATTCCTTTTCTGGCATTTATTGGACTTTTTTTTTGACTGAGAATCCACTGTTTCATATCAGGCCAAATAGTAAACTAACTAGAGTAGACAGATTCAAAGATCTAGATCCAGGCAAGCAGATGTAACAGTAAATGTTAAGATGCTGGTGTTTCAGCCTTTAGCAGAAAACCTCATCTTGTAAATCCTAAATGCTGAAGTGTACACTGCGGCTATTCTTAGAACATATTTTTCCACACTGAATAGACCTTGCATCTGTGGTATGCCTAATGTAGAACAGGGAAAATGGTATAAATCCATCCATCCATTTTCTTCAGCTTATCTGAGGCTGGGTGGGAACAGCAAGCTAAGCAGAGAGGCCCTGACCCTCTTCTCCACAGCCACCTCCCCTAGCTTATTAAATTGAATGTGCCCGTATCACTTCAACTTTCTCCTTTCGATATTGAGGAGTAACAGCTCTGCTTGAATGACTGAACTCTGACTGAAGACTGATCACTAAGGGAGATAGGGTAGTCACACTATGCCATGACATTTACATGAACATGGCTCTGGGACTATATAAAACCCAAGCATCAGCAACAAACTATTTTTATGCAATTCTAAACATGTGGGGGTTTTTGGGGGGTGGGGTGAGGGTGGGAGTGAAAGAGTTGCTAACTATGAAGTGAAGAATGAGATGCAACTCTCAGCACTTTTTTATAGGGCTGGTATTTTTGAATGTGTATCCACAAGATCCCAGATGTGGGAATAAAGATGGATGTGCTGCAGTGACAGCGTCACACTCTGCAGGATTCGGCGCCATATGAAGTAGGTTTCACACATTTGAAATCCGTTGTCAGTGCAGACAACTTATAGCTTAATTTTTCCAAGTGCTATTGATGATGTGTGAATAGTATATTGTTACATCTAGGTCTTTTAATGGTAGCACTAACATGGCATATTAATAGAAAACCTGAATGGGTGGTGAAAATACATTAAAGTTGCACTTTGGTTACACTGTCCTAACCACTCCTGAGGCCAAAAAGCTCTCCCAGCTTACTACATTCATTAGCAGACAAGAAAATACTAGCATCAAAAAGAAAACCACTACACAGTTATGTGCTTTGTTGATGGACATTGCTTCCCACAAGGCAGCACACAGATGTAATGATGAGGAAAGCACAGGGAGAGAATGCTTTCATTTTGCAACTATCTGTGAAATGGAATAATGACTACTTTCCTGAACACCATGTTTTGTTTTTCACTCTTACCACATGTAAACAACTGATCAAAAGTTTTACAACACCCCAATTTTTCCAGTTATTTATTGCAATTCAAGTTGTTCAAGTCCAATGAAGAGCTTGAAATTATACAAAGGTAAGTGGTGAAGTGCCAGAGGTAAAAAAAACAAAAAAAAGGTAAGGTTACTCAAAACTGAACGTACATTTCAGAATAATACAAAAAAGCCTTTTTCAGTAAGCACAAAATAGGTTAACAATTTAAATTGTTCTGTAGCAATAGAGGTTGATCAAGCCTTGGAAGCTGATGCTAATTCCTACATATACTGGCACTGGACACTTTCATAGACACAACTTGCTACAGAATTGACCCCCTCATGCTTTTCGGAACAACATTAATTGTTTACAGCATAATTTGTTATATATTGATATGATCATGTCCAGAGATGGGCGAGTGCGCTGTTGGTGACAACAGCTGTGTGCAGATCAACAATGGATCATATATCGAGTGTGGGAGAGAGTATGAATGTGCAGCGTTTAAAGCGTGGAAGTACTGACCGTACTTTGAGTTTGATTCCATAAAAAGTGACAAAAACATTAGCGTCCGTTGTGCGTGGAAGAAAACTTCTTTTTACAGCGAAAAAACCCCCTAAACAAGCACCGAGTGCGCTGCGACGTAATGGGAAATTCACATAGAAACTCGCGAATTCTTCAACTGACCGCGGCACACCTGCACCAGGGTAAACCTCCGCCTACCGCAGTCCTGCTTTACAGGTGAAAATAGAGCAACAGGACCACTGAGTCTTTGACTTTATTTATTTTCTGCTGTGTTTTACTTGCATCTATTTGAAAAAGTGAGTGTAAACACATAAAATATTTTATTTTATGTGCTGGAATGTGTAGAAAATAGGTTTAAATGTTAAACTAATTTATTCAAGTCAGAATGTTGCTTATAGTTTAATTTTTGCTTGATGCATAAAGTTAAAAGATTAAAACTGATAAAACAAGTTAAAAAAAAAAGAGACTTTTCCATTTGATTACATTTTGTATGATGGATTATGTAGAAAAAGTAGAATTGGGCTGAAAGATCTATCGCTTTATCACCTCTTCAGGTTGTAAATCCTGTTTTTAAAAAGTAACTAAGTAACTAAGTAATTAATTACTTTTGAAAATAAGTAATCAGTAAAGTAATGGGATTACTTTTTGGGGGAAGTAATCAGTAATTAGTTACCGATTACTTTTTTCAAGTAACTTGACCAACACTGGTGATGAGCTCTGAAACCCGACTGAAACTCTTCAGTACTCCTAAGTACTGCTTGGCTCCTCAATCTGTAGCCACATCATCTCCTTACAATGGGTTGGCTGAAGGGGTTGATGCATATGCATCCACAGTGGTGGGGACAGTGGATCACTTTGGTATATTCTGTACTCCTGAGCTGGAGAACTCAGGAGTGGACCATCACCTCACAACATGGATACTGGACTACCTCACCGACCGACCACAGTATGTGAGACCTCAGGGCTGTGTGTCAGACAGGGTCGTCTGCAGTACGGGGGCCCCATAGAGAACGGTTCTGGCTCCGTTCCTCTTCACCATCTACACTGCAGACTTCTCCCACAACTCCACCCAGTGCTTCCTGCAGAAGTTCTCTGATGACTCTGCAATAGTCGGCCTCATCACTGATAGGGGACGACAAGGAGTACAGAGGACTGACCCAAGACTTTGTGGACTGGTGCCAGCTGAACTACCTAAGAATCAACACTTGAACAACCAAGGAGTTGATGTTAGACTTCCACAGGCACAAACATCCTCCACTGAACCACTGAACATCCAAGGTATGGACATTGAGGCTGTGGACAGCTACAGGTGCCTTGGTGTTCATCTGAACAATAAACTGGACTGACTCAATGCCCTCTACTGGACAGGGCAGA